CATTTGTTCTTAATTATTTATTCGAAAAATTATAACATAAATATGTTATAAAATCACTACAAAAATAGCCATTTTGTTTCAACACATCTGGTGTCTTATCAAGTGATGATGTAGAATGTGACTCACTGGTGATTTTCTTTCATCTTTTCATGATAATGTTATTAAGCTTATCAGATAATATGAAAAGAATTTACATAAAATAAATAGACAAAACTTGTCTATATTATTTAATGAAACATGCATCTCTCTCTCTCTATATATATATATATATATATATGAGGAATTAATTTTTTATATATATATCTCTTACCATGCTTTGAATATAGTTCCTATTATATATTTAGAGATTTTTGATAAAATCCAAAAAAGAATCTGCAATATTATTGGTCCTGACCTGGTATTTTGTCTTCAGTCACTTTCTTATTGCCATAATGTAACTTCCTTTTGCCTTTTTTTTTTATAAATACTTTCATGGTAACTGTTCAAATAAACTCTTTGCTATTGTACTTAGGCTTTTTGAATTTAAGCACAGTACTAGACTGGCAACGAGGTATTATGAATTTATAGTTGAACTAGCTAGATGTAACCATAAGTTCTCTGCTAACAGTTTATTTTCTCGGACTTCTTGCTAGCAAAATTCTTTTCTGTCTCATGCATTCAAACCAATTTTGATCTTCAAAATTTAAATATTAATTGTTATCTGCTATCTTCTATTACTCTTGCTCTTTACTAATGTTTCTCTTTTTTTCTCATTTTTTCAAACTCAGTGATCCCCTTGTGTCTTAGAGGCTTTATTTGGAGTGATATGATTAAATAAAAAAAAAAAAAAGAAAAAAAAAAGAGGATTTTATGTATAAGGAATTAATGAATTTTATTTTCAATCTGACATATCTCAGTTATTTCCCTTGGAGAGTTGAACTAAAAGTGAAATATCTGAGATATATTGAAAGAGGCATGGCATGTAGAACTAGAAGAATCAACCCCCATTGACGAAATAAAGGGTTTGAAATTCCAATCACCTGAAGAAGACCAGAGCATACAATGGCCAAAACATTGTGATTATGGCTATGAAGATGAGGATTACTGTCTGAATAATGTGAATAGTGCAAATGTGAACTGTCTGCAAGTATTTTTTTCAGAATTACTTTAATCCAACATTTATTTATTGCTCTTCAAAAAAGGTTGATTCTTGGGAAACATTCCTGAGAGGAATCTAAATAGAACAAAATTGTTTTCGATACCAAGCTATATGAAAGTGAAATCAAACACAAAAAGATGGCTTAATAAGATAGATATACAAAATAGTTTGCCTTCCTTTTCTCTCACAGACCAAAAACAAATATAAAATTCTTGTGTGCTAAAAATATCCAAGTTATTGAATGAGGAATCGTAAAAAGAATATGGAAAACTCAACCTTGCAATCAGTAGAGAACAGAGTATGCAAAAGTCTGCAAATATATAAATAGTAGAAAAGTAGAAGCTACATGGTAAATGAAATGGAATTCAATAAGACATAGGAAAACAGAAAGAAAAGCAACAGTAACAAAGAAAAGGAGGGTAGTAGTAATAATAATAATAATAATAATTTCAATCAAGAATAAACAGAAATTATCAGATATAGAAGAGAGAGAAAGAAAAGTCAGTAGAATCTAAGCCTTAGAATCAAGCCTGATGGATTTAATGGAGCGTGTGCTGAAGATCAACATTTGTGTTCATTTTATGGAGGGGGGGGGGTGAGTTATTTATTAATTTTTTTTCTTTGATCATTTTAAAAGTATTCTTGCATTTTTGGCTAGGTCAGGAAAATGGTTTGGTAATTGAGGATTTTATGAGCTCTTCAGTCATTTGCTTGTCTGAATGGAAAAATTTCCATACAAATATTGCCAAAGTGTTATATATATATATATATATATATATATATATATATATATATATATATATATGTGTGTAAATGCTCTATTTATAATAAACATTATTAACTACACTTACCAGTTTGAAGATCCAAGAAATTTCATAGAAAATATGTGTCCTCAAACAGTAATTGAATTTATCCTACACAGAACCATCACTTGGCCTGACATGCTATACTATTAAGCTACAGAGGAAGCGCCTGGTTAGCAAAGTCAAATTACTGTTTTTAAACACCAAAATTTCCCATGACATATTTTCTATGAAATTTCTTGGACATTCAGGCCGGTAACAGAAAAATATATAAAGATAGTTGTTGGACAGTCCATTTCATAAATATACATATATATGTATATTTAGGCAGGATATTTTCATTCAAACATGTTTCATTGAATAATATAGACATATTGTATCTACTTACTTTTATACTGATCATTTCGAGTTTTCTAATCAGTTTCTTGATAAGATGAAAATCATCAAGGAAGGCATCATAGTTATTTTTAACACAATCTTTTCCAAAATCATCTTCAGGGGTAAATTACAAAGACAAACTTATTGTAACTATGTTCTGCAGTTTGTTCTTTTTTTAAAAAAAAAATTCCCATCATAACAGAATGCAAATTTTATACCAGTTACAATAAGTTTCTTTGGGGCATCCAGTGAGGCTGAAACTGATGCCTGAGTACTGCCCAACAAGACTAGTCTTGCTAACAATTACCTCATACCAAGGCACCTACATAACTTTTTCTTTATTAGTAATGTGTATAGCGTATCAAATTCATAAGAGGGTTCACATGTTTTCTTGTGTTGCTAAAGAGTTCTGGAATAATTTTTTCATGTGCATTTGTTTGAATGCCTATGGAGCTCTAGTAATCATGACACTTCATTTTGGAATGAAGGTTATAAATTTAAGGTTTATTTTGTATTCAGTTATATATAATATAGGCATCGACTTCAATGACCACTTTTTATATTTAAATGCACTTTATCTCTAATATTTCACCCCCATAAATATGACATAGCTTAAAACTATATTTTATCATACACACACACACAATGAAATGGACTAAGTCTGACAATTATTTAATATATTTTCTGTTTATATGTTATTTTAAGAGATAAAATTTATTTAAGTAAATGGTCTGTTTTTTAATTAAACAGTATTAATTATATTTACTGGCCTGAATGTTTGAGAAATATTGTAGAAAATATTAAATAATTGCTGGACTTAGTCCATTTCATTGTATATTGTCATTGTTTATGTTAAGATGTGTTTCGTGAGTAAATACAATCAATCGAGAAAAATCGTCAGAGGTTGTATCTTTTAAAAACAATATTTTGGACTTTGTTAACCAGATGCTTCTCTATTGCTAAGTTGTATAGCATGTCAGATCAAATGGCAGCCCCGTGTAGGACACAGGTTTGATTCCTGTTGGAGAACACATATTTTCAACAAAATTTCTCAAAAATTCAAGCTGGTAAATGTAATTAATACCCTAAAAAAAAAAAAAAAAAAAAAAAAAAAAAGAAAAAAAAAGAGCATTTACTTAAATAAATTGTACATATGAAAGTAACATATAAACAGAAAAAAATATATATGTATATGAATTGGGACCAAATATGGATCGGAATTTGACAGAATGATAAGATAAAGAACAAATATAAATTATAGGAGATATAGCAAAAATAAAAAACTTTACTAAAGGCTAGGAAAAACAAGAAAATTGTGGAGACCCATGATCACTAATGTCTTGAAGTGATAAAGCACATAGAAGTAGAAGAATTCTACATATTAATATATGTAAAATTATATAAAATTCAATATATATCAAGGTGAACAGAATTTCTCCCAATAAAATACTCAATATTTGACTACAGCAATGATTATTGTATCAGAAGTAATTCAAATTCACTTATTTAAGGTTGACTCAGGGTTTTGTAATTCTTCAATTGACAGAACCCAGAATGATTTTAATTATTACAAAATATATATATTTAATATTCAAAATATATATATTTAATATTCTATAAATGCTGATTATATAGGCAAAATTTTCAAAATTAATATTTTTTTCTCATGAGATCTCTACAACTGAAAACCCATATAATAAAAAGGCTTAAACACTAATATTCCATGGTTATAATTCATTACATTGGAATCATAATTACAATCGAATTCATCAGATCTGTCTGATGAATTGGATTGTAATATGATTCCAATGTAATAAATTATAACTATGGAATATTAGTGTTTAAGCCTTTTTATTATATTCTTACACTATCCTGGACATTGTTCTACCTGGATTCTATCCTCTTGGAAATTTTTATATATATATATATATATATATATATATGTGTGTGTGTGTGTGTGTGTGTGTGCATGTGTATATTAACCACTAATATTATCTATCTATAAAATGAAAATATTTTTAAGATATTTATTGGTAAAAGTGCTCAATATCAGGGATAGAGGATATGTAAATACAAAAGTGGATACTGAGGTTAGCACTGACCAGTGGCAGTCTGTTTTATATTTATATAGGCTGTGTGTGGTGCCAACTATTTATATATGCTGGTCAATAGTGCATTATGGGTAGCAAAGTCTATTGTAATATCAATCATTATATGAATCTTGCTACCCATAATGCACCATTGTCCACATATATAAACAGTCAAGCCAATGAACAACACACATGGTCTGATGATTGCATTCAAGCATGAAAAAAGACTGTTACTGCTCAGTATTTATAAACTTGCTCACCACTTATTAAGCATATCATATTAAAGTAAGCATAGTATATTAGAATATTTAAGCAGTAATCCTTAGTATGGACATATATGATTGATTGATTTGTTTTCTATGGTTTATCAACCATTTGCAGGTTATTTAAAGCCAGAAAATATTTTTAGATTTTAAGAATGGTTTAGTGATACAAGCCTTACTAATTAACCCATAGTCAGGGCAAAAGAAGAGGGGGGGGGATTCATACCTTTCCTAAGGGTATTTGCACATAAGTAAATATAACAAACCCAACAAGCTCTCCAATTAATAATTCTGAGCTATTTTCCATTACACCACCTGCACATCCAAGCTTACAGCACCTGGTATTCCCAAGCAGTCATCCATCTAGATACTGACCATGCTCGACATTGCTTAACTTTGGTGATTGTAAGGGAACCTGTATTTCAACATATGGCCATAAATCAGGTTTTATTAAATATGTTGAACAAGGAATGTCTGTTAAGAGTTTTGTCAAGCTTCTCCTGGAGTTAAATAAACTTTTTGATATCAGGTGGAAACTAGTAAAGCCTGCAGAAATTTTGTACTTTTGGTCATTTTCAAGGAAAGACAGTAAAAGTCCAGAGATAGTCAGTGGGGCATGTACCAGTCCAACATATAAGATGCACATGCAATGGTGGTGTAATTGATATCTGCATTATAGGAATAAAATGACCCTATGGTTTAAACACATGTGTATGCATGACCACAAAGTTATGAAGAAAATGGAAACTGATGCTTAACATCAGGAAGAAACAATTGGAATTTCTAGGGCATATAATGGGGAAGGAGGGCTTAGAAAATTTGATACTCATGGGACAGATAGAGGGCAAGAGGTACAAAGAAAATAACATACTTTTAGTACTTGAGTAAATGTATGGTGGAACAGAGTTTAGGAGAAATAACAGAAAGACAAAGTTTATTAAGAGCTACAAGGGACAGGAAGTTGTGGAGAGTCATGATCACCTACATCCTGAGGGGACATGGCACATAAAGAAGTATGCATAGATATTTATTTATTTGTTTTATGCGCACTGATTGTCCTCTAAGCCCACTCAAAAGGTAAACAGCATTTGATGTTTGACATGAGTTTTACCAAATTTGACAGAACAATGAACAAAGACAAAGCATATCCATCATTGCTGACAATTGGGGGTGCTAAAAGAGTAGATGGTCTGAAAAATGATCTAATTTAGGATGGGAAAAATTTAGACTAGTTAGTTTATTCTACCCCACTTACAAGTGTACTGTAACACATTAGGGTAATAAGAGCACTACATGTACTGCACCAGTAACAGCAGTGGGTGTGTCTAGAGCAAGATAGTGAGATGTAGCCCATCTCACTTCAGGTTGGTTTAGAATTCAAAGTTTTTCTTTTTTCTAAACTGGTTACCACCTCAAGGCAAGAGAACCCAGTTTGTCTTTCTGTTTAACCCATAGCTAGAGAAAGATAGATTTCTGCATGTTCCAAGGGTATTAACAGGAAGTGAAAAAACAGAAATGAGCAGGAATTGAACTCAGCACCCCAAAATCACTCTCTGTGCTAATAACCATTACACCATCTTCAACTCCAAACAGGAGTAACTCAAAAGGAACAATTAGATCATCTCAAAATGAACACAACTATTTATTATTAAGACAATTATTATTAAGACAATTATTATTAAGACAATTCTAATTTTGCCTAATTTATGTCATTTATTGAATGGTATACAAGTGATTCATTGCATACAATCTGTTACAGTCAATCATGATTATTTATTGGCCATCTGTTCATTGTGGGGTTGTAAACTGATAAAAATATAGATAAGAAACTTTGAATTTAATGTAAACATGCACCAAAGAAAATATTATTTTGTTTTGGTTCATATCAAAGCAAAAACATTCACACTCATTCTTCCTATTGTGTTGTTTTTGTTTCTTTGTCTCCACTTCAAATATTACCGCACGCATTTACATATAAGCCAACTTCATGTATAGTGTGATCCCAAAATTTTTTGGCATGAATTTTGATCCTCTCCAGAAAAATTTACCTGTGTTTTGTGCAAATTAAAATTATTATACGCTTACATAAAGCAATATTTACAGTTTTTCATTTAGGCTTGGAATTTGTTAATTTCTTGGAATTCAAAGGGTTGCATCATCTCTTCTTGAATTTGTAATGCCATAAATTATACTAATGTTTTGTTTAACAAGTTGAATGCACATGAAACCTGATTAACCAATGAAAATCAAACACCACAAAAGTAAAAATACCAAAATTTCTTTCTTCTTTATATTTGCATGGTAAATACCATATTTTTTGGCTTACAAGATGCTGCAGCTTGGAAGGTGCAACCTAATATTGGAAAGAAATTTCTAAGAAAAAAAAAAGAAGTCATTCTCCTACAACAACACATTCACTGTGAGTTCCTCACATACTGGTGCCACGTATTGTTTATATTAATCACTAATCCTATTTTGTTTGTATGGTAAACAGAGCATATTTAATCTTGTGACTCAGCTCCGGGAAGGTTTATAATCTTGGAAATACTTGTAACAGCTAAGTACTGAGGTTTCATCATATAAAAGGCTGAATTAGATAGCTAACATTATAGACATACAACATACAAATCTATGCCCCTATCAGTCAAGCCAATTAGGTGACCATCCAAGCTTACTTGAACCTGGGTGTTGACTTACATTCATCTTAGAAGATGGACACATATTTTTCAGGCTATTTTTTTTTTAGGAAAAAAGTGCATCTTGTAAGCCAGAAAATATGGTATACTTCATGAATTTCTGCTTCATATTAGTTTTTATTATAAATATTCTATAACTTATTTAATGGTGTGAGATTTTTTTTACATACCTCAAGTATTGCTCATGTTGAAAAAATAAATAGATGTATGATAAAAATACAGTTTTCAGGTATGCTATATTTATGGTTTAAAATGCACACTTGCAAGGATAAAGCATATGTAAATATAAAAGTGGACATTGAGATCAACACCCTGAGGCAACAGTCTGTTTCATGCTTAAATGCAATCATTAGGCTATGTGTGTTGTGTTTTGGCTTGACTGTATATGGTGCATTATGGGTAGGTCTGTTGTATTATTTTAATAGTTATTTGGATAGGTGGTAATGGTTATGTTTTGAATTATTTTAGGGGCTATTGAGTGGAAATAATTGTGGATCCAAATGCAGTTTTCTGGCTATTTTATAATGTTGTTGGTTAACTTTTTTACTCATTATTTATTATTTGTTGTTGGTTGTTATTATTATGTTTACTTGTTTTTATATGTGGACTCATGGTTTGTTAATTGGTTTGTTATTTACTTATTTATTGATTTGGATTAATATATTTTATTTATTTATTTTGTTCATTTTTGTATATTTATAAATGTATGCGTGTAATAGTATAGTTATTTATACATATTTTCTTAATTTTAGATATATTGTCAAGAAGGATATAATCTAAAAACAGAAAGAAAATAAACTGAGTGATGAAAACATGTTGGGAATAGCAACTGAAATCAGAGAACAATTAAGAAATTGACAAACATTAGCAAGGTAATAAAAAAAAAGAAATTACTGACTTTAAGAAAGTCACCAAAAGTGTTGAGAAAAATGAAAAGAGTAAGACATGAAAGCAACAAACCTGCTTCCTTTAAGCAAAGATCACAAAAAGAAATATATAAGTTGCATTTGGAAGTACATGAGAATTGATTTCTCGATGATAATTTTTGGTGATTGACATTGATCTATATTAAATGGACCTGGGTTCTTCATGTCAAACAACATAACTTGTTTTGGAGCATGTGATGCCATAATACTAGAGTTCTTGATCAAATTGATCACACACTCCAAAACATATATTTAACTGTCAATAAAGAGCATAATTAAAAAAACAAATTTTGGTCTACACATATTTTGTCTTAGTGTTTACCTATGTATGGAAAAAAATTGCGCCCTGAAGATAACAATTGGAAATTATTGAAAGTACTCGTCATGTGCCTTCCATCTGATAATAACTCAAATATAAGGATTTTATTATTCAAGGAATTGATAGTAAGTTAATGTCTAAGTAAGTGAAGTGATTTCGCCATTAATCACATTAATGTTGCTATTTAATTCTTTGTATAAATTGTTCCTTTATGATGTGAAAGATTATCTATGTATGCTTCTTACAGAATATAGGTATAGTAGACCAATGAAATACATTCAAAAAGTCATAATAATAATTGCATATTATTAGGCCATAAGACAAAATAGAAAAATGTGAAAATCAGATTTTTTTGACATGTCTGTCCTCTCCAAATGAAAATTAAAAAGTTGTACTTTTTGGGGGAGAAATGGTTTGTTTTGTTTTGTGCATATGAAGATTAGTTTTAAACTTGTCTACTTGATGAAGCATCCAGACAAGTACACATGCTATTTATTTCTAAAGTTTTTCTATAACTCAAATGAAGGCCCATATTGCTCAAGGTGCTACAAATAAAATGCTTATAATATCTGTTTTATATTTATATATATATATATATATATATATATATATATATAATGCTTAAAAACAATAAATGAAGTCTCAGGATTTGAAATGTCAGAAAATAAACTGGAAAATTTAGAAAGACTAAAATGTTATATTACAGAAATATGTTAAAGATTTCAAATTAGGAACTAATGACCTATATTTGAATAGTCTGGCAAGATTTCAGAGTCAATTACATCTCACTTGACTTATGTTATGTGAATGAAGCCAGTGGTCAAGCCATCCCCCCCCACCTGCCATCATTTTATATTCAAGGTTTATAAAAAAAAAACAATCTGATTAGTCCTTAACTAGTCTTTCATTTGAGTACTTTTACATAATCACTTTCTCAGATCAATGGTTAAAGGTGGCTTTGAGCAAATAAAAACTGTAGGTTCTTGTAAGGACCATCCTTCTTCAAATCATATCAAACACTACACTGGCACTACAGAAACACAAACAAAAAACTGTAGCAAATATCAGAAACCACAACACTTGAGGACTTAACAAAAGCAACAAATAAAATAGATATCAAACAAAAGGTTAGGAAGGAAACCCCCATCAGTACTGGAAAAAAGCATAACAGTTACTGGTCTTGAGAAATATATTTTTCTGAAAAAATGTTTTAATAGAAAGCTTTTATGAATTTTATTTGAAAGTAGAATTGGCTATTCAGTTAATGAATGTTTCCTTATAAGGAAATGGTTAATATTACCATTGTTATTTTTGTAAGAGAACAAAACTAAGTTAGTTGAAATCATGATTTCAAGTTATCTTTATGTTAATTTCAGTTACTTTTACTGTTTCTATGGTTTCCCATACCTTCAATCTGTGGTTAACTGGGGCAGGAAATGGCTTGTAAATTTTAATGCTCCCAAAATGAAACTGCTCTCAGTTAATC